TCCCCCCCCCCCCCCCCGCTCTCCCTTCTCTCTCTCATCCATGTATATGGTATCTACCCAATAGCCGTAGCAATTGGAGGGCTCGTTTAATTTACGAAGCTCAAGAACGTGGAAATGGATTACGCCCAGAAAATGCAGAAGTGCCATGAGTACGTTGAAGCTCTAGAAGGAGAGCAGAAGAAGATCCAGGTCTTTCAGCGTGAGCTTCCTCTGTGTTTAGAGCTCGTAACTCAAGGTAATTAAGAAGAGTTTATCCTGTTTTCGTTTAGTCTTCGTTCTCAGTTTTCTGGGTTTTTTTTTCCATTTCTGGGTTTTGATTGTGCTTCTGGGTTTTTCGCTTCAGCGATCGAGGCGTGTCGAAGGGAGCTGTCGGGTTCGTCGGCGTCGGAATACGTGAACGGACAATCGGATTGCTCTGAGCAGACGACGAGTGAGTGTGGCGGTCATTTGTTCGAGGAGTTCATACCCATCAAAAGGAGATCTTCGTGCGAGGAAGACGGTGAACACGAATCTCGTAAATCCGAGAACGATGGTGACGAGAAAATGGCGAAGAGCAGTGGGAATGATATTACAGATAAGAAGAAATCGGACTGGCTTAGATCTGTTCAGTTATGGAACCAGTCGCCGGATCCACGACCGGAAGAGGTGAGTAAATTTGGGGTGGTGACGAGGATTAGTTTCCCGAAAAATTTCCGTGGGAAAATGGTTTCGAGGAAGAACCCTAACTTGTGTTTGCTGGTGAACGATTTAGGATCAAGCTCCTAAAATGGCGACGGTTGTTGAGGTGAAGCGAAATGGCGGTGCGTTTCAGCCATTTCAGAAGGATAAGCCCTCGCCGAAGAGTAATCCGTCTCCGACTCCGGCGCTGACTACATCGAGTTCCACGGCGGAGACCGGCGCCGGAAAACGGGACGCCGAGAAATTGGAACAACAGAAGAGAAAGCAACGACGGTGCTGGTCGCCGGAGTTACACCGGCGTTTTCTTAACGCGCTTCAACAGCTCGGCGGATCTTATGGTAAGTTGAAAATCTGTTGACCCCATCAAAAATGGATTCGTGATTTTTTCTGGGTTTTTGTGATTAGAAAATGGGTTGATGACAAGTTTTGGGTTTTTTTTCCTTTCTGAATTTGATGAAATTTGCAGTTGCTACTCCGAAGCAGATTAGAGAGCTAATGAAGGTTGATGGACTAACTAATGACGAAGTTAAGAGCCATTTACAGGTTAGTAGTAGTAATCATTTCATATCATTTTTTTAATTAAGACCCTAATCATAATTCCACTTGATCTACAAACCCTTCATGAAAAGATTCGATTTTTATGGCTTTAAACCTCTCAGATTCGGATTTCAGTACAAGATTGTGTTATATAATCTCTTGCAATGCCCTAAAATTTTTGCCTTTCCTTTTGGTTTTCTCAGAAATATAGACTTCACACGAGAAGGCCAGTAACGCCGGCGGCTCACGGCGGCGGAAATCCGCAGCCACCGCAGTTCGTGGTGGTCGGTGGACTCTGGGTACCTCCGCCGCCGCCGGTCGACGGAACCAACGGAATGTACGTGGCGGCGCAACCGCCGGAGCGTATTTCTCCGTCGCTCAAACGCTCGGAAGATAGAATCGGCGGTCGTTGCAACTCGCCGGCGACACCTTCCTCTACGGACACGACCACAACTTCTTCTCCTGTGGCGTAGTTAGTCCTTGTAATCGTTATTAACTTAATTATTAGCATTAATGCCGGTGAGTGTAAGTAAAATTTTTTATTTTTTTTTTATAATTAAAGGACCAAGGTTGTAATTTTTTAATAAATAAATGTAGGCAATTTTGACATCTGACCACTAATTAATATCATTATATGCACGAGAATAGATGGGTTATTTTCAGTTAAAGATATAATTTGCTGTGCGAATTCAACAATTGTATACATAGTCTCCCGTTATGGGAATTTTTAATTTACATTTAAATCGTACGGCTTCACTGGTTCCTTATGATACACTTGTGGAATTAATATTATATAGATTTTTTTCTATAAAAAGAAGCTGGTTATACAGATGCTTGAATTTCTTGAAAATTCCTTCTTCGTTTGTATGCGCGACCAAATATTCGGGATTTAAATAGGGCATACGTTTTCGTTGGTTATTTATTTGTCCTGTCCATCGTAATATAAAATTTAATGAATACTTCCAATTAATATATATATATATATAAATATAAATATAATTTTTTTAAAAACGTGAACATGACTGAAGTATATTCTCTATTATTTTAACTTATCATATTGTTAGGTAAAATGGGTGCTGTCAAAAGATTGTTTGGTCTCTATCTTTTTTGCCGAAACTAAATCGAGGTTTTGTCCTAAAAGATTCCGTTTTGTCTGATTAAAGTATCTCTTTAATTATTTACCTTTTTATTAATTAAGAAAATCAAATTTTAATTTTTATACGATCGTTTGATTTTTACGTTACCACTTGCATCTAACATATATAAGTTTTTACACATCACTCGCTTGCAATTATCCTTTTTCTCTCTCTCTATATATATACAATGTGCCAATATGTTACGGCAGGCTAAAAAGAATCTGATATATATAAAAACATAAAAGATATCATATAATATATATATATATATATATCATTTTATGTTTATAATTTGAATTTGCATTTATTCAGATTAAGAAATGTGACCCTTGGGTTGTCTTAAAGGCCAAATGGCCCTTCTTTTCGCTTTTGAAAAACAGCTATCATCCAAAAACATATTTTTTTAAAAAAATATTAAAAAGAATATCCAAAAGTCTCTTCTTGGTTTATTTGACAACGGGAATATCCAAAAGTCTATTGGAATTATGGAATTCCACTATACTGACAAATAAATAAATAAATAAAATACTGTCCTTGTTTTTTTTAATAATAAATACTAACATTGTCAATTGATTAAATAAAATAACCGACGGATCAGATCTATATTATAGTTTATTTAACCAATTAACATTACTACTAACATTGTTAATGTTAATTAATTAAATAAACTATGACAATCCGTCGGTCGTTTTGCCATTCTTTTTTTTTTTTTACCACTCTAATATGTTCGTTGAGGTAACAAATCCCATTTGTTTTCCAAATTATTATTTTTTTTTACAAATTTTGGAAAATATTGACGGGCTTCGATTGGGGCCTGTTAAGATAAATGTACTTTTGTAAAATTCGAGGCCCAATGAAATCTCGGTTGGTGCCCTAATTGGGGCCCAATAAAAAATCAAGGCCCATAATAAACCCAAAATACAAAGTTATTGGGCTTGGAGATAATGACTAGGCCCAATTAACAAGCGTTTCAAATATAGATGTGCATATATATATATATATTATATGATGGCTTTATTTGGTTATAGTGACTTCTTTTTAGGTTTCTGATTCTTTGGTCCCACTTTGAGACAAAGTTAGCTTTTTTTTTTCCCAAAATTATTTTCCTTTTTTTATTCATATTATAAACTGGAATTTTTTTTTCTCCAAAATCCACGATTCTAAATTTAAATAAACTATATCCAGCTGGTTCTAATTTCTATATTTAATTAACGAAGACATGATTATGAAAGCAGCTCATCGAATCGCATATGCAGAAATGGCGTCCCATAGTTTCGGATTTCTTGTCCCCATGCTCCCTTCAAGTGGCTTACAAAAATATATTAGAATTCAACGATACAAAAAAACATATATATATATATATATATATATATAATGAACGCGTATCCTTTCATATAGTTGGGAAATTATGAAACATTCAAATGGAAATTATTTTGTGTGGTCCAAATATATATATATTTTTGTAATGTAGATAACGGGAGATGGATCCGTCTGCTTTGTAGTGGTTAGAACTGGCCATTTGGAAACGATATATATATTCTGTTTGTTTTACAATATTAAATACAATAATCTAATCAAATTCAGTTTGTTTTTTAAATTCGATTTTTTAGCTTTTTTTCAGTTTCTTTTTTTTTTTGGTGTGTGTGTGTGTGTATATATATATATATAAGAATTGCAAGGCTAAACATGCATACGCTCATTACGGAGTAAATATACTATAACTTGCAATTGCATGCATGCATGCAAGCAAGTGGTTACTAAAACCTATTAATGGTAATTATTCAACGCATACATTTTATTGAAGGATCGGATTGATTCTAATCCCGCATGGAATAAATAAGATGCATGGATCTTGAAGCAAAAGACAAAATAATTATTAAGTTCAAGATGTATTATTATTATTATTATTATTAATTGATTAATTAACAAGTTAATTAATTCACGGTTCAAATGCAGCCTGCGTAGAAGCCCCAGTTAAATTTATTAACTAATATAAAAATTAACAATCACGGACTCGAATTATGATAAAATATATTTTTGTCGCATTGACATGTTCGGGTTCAGTTTTTCACGGACCGTACACATAATTATTATGTTAATTCGGACGTACGAAAATCATGAAGAAATCGATGTTGTTCTCCATTCACGCATTTGAAATCACATATACAGATTCGAATCCCCACATTTGATATTATATTGTTTTTATTTTACATGTTGAAATTTCAATAATCTCTTTAACGACATTATTTGTAATAAATAAAATTCTAAAACTCCAAAGGAAAGTATGAACCACGCATCGAAAGATTATTGTCAAATATAAATTTTACGATACATTGTTATACATATACGTGCCTCTACGTATATATGTCTATATACAAATTAAATCTTATGAAAATGATAATATCGTCGTCTATATATAGATTATCATCAGACGCCCCATAATGAGTAAGCCGATAAATTACAAAAAAAAAATAGGTCGAAAGAATAAAAAGAATATATAGACGTCAATATCGACATAATTACATTCAAAAAATACAAAATTTGAATATATATATTTTGGGAAAGCAACGGGGACCGTAAAAAAAAAGGAAATTATAAAACAATAATATAAGATAAGATGAGATCGAAAACAAATAACATTTGCTGATGAGAGTTGGGACAAAAAAACTATTTCCCCGTTACCTTTTTCTCCCCAAAAACTTTTTTTTTTCCAGCTTTTTTTCTTACAGCTTTTTTTCTGGTCTTGTCTTAATTTACAATTTCACAGCGCTGCAACTTGCAAATTTTAAAATAATAAAAATATTAAAAATAAAAAAGAGTTGAAAAAAAAAACAAAATGTTACAATGCGTTAATTATCATCTGCTTCTTGGAACACCCTAACGTAAACAAATCACGGTCCCGAGATCTCTTGCCGCCGCAAACTGGAACGACGTCGTTTGGTGGTGGAGTTGGTGCACTCAAGATATCCACGCCGAAGAGCCGAACCACCTGAACCGGGTTCTTCTCCGGTTCCGACCGGATTTTACAGTCGATGTACAGCTGCCGGTCCGGACCGGTTGATCTCTCGAAGCTAACCACGTCACCAGCTCGGAGATTCTTCTCCTTCACGAACCGGCTCCATCCTTTGGTCAAAACGTAACTTTGACTGCTGTTCCAGTACGAGTAACGGAACCGCCACACTTTTCCCGTTACGTCCTCGAAGTTCATCAACACGCCCTTCGTCGACGACGTTCCGTTGCCGTTACTTGACGACGTCGGTAACGGAAAGTGCTTCTCCGCGTGCTGCTTCGGTATCACCAGACGGTTCAGCTTGCCGACGTCACTCGGCGTCACGGCCTTCTCGAACAGCACCTCACGCGTTTTCTTCCCGGCGTCGTCGTTTTGCCCCGTCCCGTTACGGTTTCCGTCACCGTCAACCCCCGACAGGTGGAATCTCCGTTTGCTCTGTTCAAGCTCTTCCTCGTACGTGTGTTTCCTCAACATGTCGACGATCTCCGCCTTGGAGTGAGCCTCGAGGAAGGCCGATTCGGCGTCGCTTTGGCAGTCCCGTTCGCCGTCGGCCGCCGGAGATTTGAAGTTCGTGACGGCGTCGCGGCCGCGGAACCGCCGGGCGGCGATGTCGTAGGCACGCGCCGCCTCTGCCTCCTCGTTGAAGGTTCCGAGCCAAACGCGATGATGTTTCTCGTAAATCTGAGCGCCCCACCGGCCGTTCGGCTGAGGAACAACGCCTTTGTACTTCGACGACGGAAGCTTCCGCGACTCCGTCTCAACGCCTATAACGTTGTCGGAATCCGACACCACACTGCCTCCGCTTCCCATACGGTAAAGCTTCACCGCCGGAGGAGCCGGAAGCTTCGACGGAGTATCCGCCGCCGGTGCGGCGGGGGGGAAGGAGTCAGTGCTGGTCGTACTCTCGTCTATACAGCTCATGCTGTCCATTTCTTTTCTGTTGGAGAATTTGATGAAATGGGTATCTGTGAGAAAGAAGAGATGGATTTGAGGTATGAAGGGTTATGTCTTCTGCTTTCTTGACGTAGGGTTTGGTGCGTGTGTGTATATATAGATAAGATATACAGAGAGGCACATAAGAAGGAAAGGGAGGGCAAGTGCATGTACATGATAATATTTTTTTATTTTTTTTTAAATTAAATAATCGAGTATTTGAGGTATCTGGGCATTAATCAGATGAAATAATTGATAATACAAAAATAATGGGGAGGTGAATGGGAAGATATGGGAAATGTGGGGTCGACTTGTAAATGCAACCAAGAAGATTCGAGGAAAGAGAGAAGGTCGGTCCAAAAACTTCCTCTGCGTACGACTACCACGGCTCTTGATTTTCGTACTAATTTTCGTACCTCTATTTTAATAAATTCCAAAACAAATTATATTTTTTGCATTTATATACGATATTCGATATATTTCCTTTTTTGTTAAGCGTGTTACTCAGACAAGACAACCAAAAAAAAACGTGTTAATCAACGAATTAATCAGCTCATCTCCTTACTCCCATGATGAAATTCCACGTCTAATATGATGATAATTTTTATTTTTCTCTATTGTTTCACATATAATTATTCTATGATTCACCATCATACATGCCATATATATATATATGCATTCATTAATAAATATGATTGAGAGCATTTACGTTTGACAGATTCTTTAATATACAAATTTAAAATTAGTAATGATCGGATTCACGAAGCATTAGAGTTTTTCCATATTAGGGTTTAATACATCCAAATATGGGCAGACATGGGGAAGTAAATGATATAATTCTATTTTTTTTGGAAATTAAAAAAAAACAAGAAAAAGGACAAAAAAATATATGGGGCCCGCAGAGAGCCAAGTGGGAATGGGATTCACATGACATATGGACCTTCGATTTCGTTAGTTCATCCCCCCTTGAAGGCCTTCTCTTGAAACTCTCATCGTGTATATGATATTATTATCTCCCAAATCTTATATTATATGTTTTTGTAATGTTTCACGATTTCATTAAAAAAAAAAATAATGATAATAATTAAATAAAAGATTCTTTTTTTTTTGTGGGATGATCTTATCAGATACTACTGTTGATGAGTCACCCAATAATTTAAGACTATTTATAGGTTTTTAAACTTCCTTGTTGGCTCATTTTTGTCTGCGCCATGTGGAACCTTTGTTTACAACATTGGGAGATGTATTTTTGCATGTCTCCCTTGTTTATTTTATTTTATTTTATCTCAATTTATAGATGTCGGTAATGTGGTATAATATGTATTCTCTTTAAAATAATTATTTTACGGCGGTAATTTCCTTTATTTAGGTGAAAAGCCGCGTGTGCATGGAATATTTGATAACGTTATGTTATCCGATTTTAATTCAGTTCTATTTAATCACTAAATTTTACATATTTATGATCTTCAATACAACAAATTATTTCTTCTTGATATACATACATACACACACAATTTGATACAACATTTTTAAATCTTACAAAATGTTGATCAAATAAATCAAAAATATAATTGAAATCCATTTGAATAGGGCATTATAAAAAATACAATTATTTTGTTATTTTGACTTCAACACATATCTTTTTCTAATTGTGACCATGTGATCCATATAACCCGAAATATAGTATGGTCACATGTTGATTTCATTGTTAATAACATTAAATTTATGATATTTTAATCATTAATCAAATGATTAGTGAGATATATAAGGTATAAACATGATAAATTAGTGTGATCACCATAAATTTAACGTTATAATCAATAAAATCAGAATATGACCACACTATATTTTAAATCATATGGATTAAATGGTCACAGTTGATAAATGTATGTGTGTTGAAGTCAAAATAGCAAAGTAAGAGTATTTTTGATATAATGCTATTTGAATATGTGTGTATTCATTATTTATTTCCAATACAAAATAAGACGAATGTTGTGGTGGATATGATATAAAAATAAAGTGGAGATTTCTATATATAAAATAAAATAAAAAAATCATATCATTTTGTCTCGTAAATTTGTTTATCATCTAAAAATTCAGCATTTAAATCGTCAGACAAATCTAAAAAAATTGGAATAAATATGATAATCACACGTATAGTTACGAACAACAGATCAAATATTTCGTTTTTTAGGTATAATATTTTATCATTCGATTTGATCCACCAAAAAAATAGATTTTATCATCTGATTTATTTCCCAACTGAATACATATATATATATATATATACACATTCTTGTAATATAAGTTTTTAGAGATATATAAACAATGTATCAAATGGATATTATCGACACAACATGTAAAATTGGATTGGACAGGTTGAACCAATCAAACCATGAATTTCATAAAAACCACCCTTACAAAACAGTCGGACTTTCCTCTGTTTTAATTCCCATTTGATTCTTCCTTAGTTTCCACTCTACATGTTGTCCTGTTGTTTGGTCCACCCTCCCTTTGTCTATCTACATCCATTGTATTGAAGTCAATTTCTAACAAAATTAATGAAATTATTTGGATTTATTTTCACAAAAAGATGTCATATGTTTTTTCTACGCATTTTGCGAATATTAACGTGATGTGACGAGGAAATTATCACGGTATATTTATACGTTATAACCCAAAACTATATATATATATATATATGTAATACTCCCTCTATTTTTAAATATATGTAGTTTTAGAGAATATTTTGTATTACTAAATAAATATCGTTTTAGATTTTCAAGATGTTTTTTTTAATCTAAATTTTATCTTTAATTAAAAATATATAACTAATAGAGTATTAAGGAGAATGTGGTTTGATGGGGATTTTTTTATATTTTATTTAAAATTGTGAAGAATTTTAAAATGATATTTATTTAGAGAGTATAATTTATCATTATTTATCCGGGAAATTTAAGATATGGGTCGCACTAAATTATGTAATATGGTTGGGTTAGTTGTCATTGTTAAAAGGGGAGATGAATCAAATAAACACCCAAATCATAAATGACATGTTCTGTGTACGTACGGAGAAGATTTGTGGGTCCCACTGTTGATTTGGCGAATTTCCATTGGCTACCGAAGTACATGAGAGATATTGTCTGAGTTATCCAATTACAATTCGTATTGAATTTTGATTACAAATTACGGTCAATATCTCAAGAAAATACAATTTTGGATAATTCTACGTACCGGATGCACCATGACGTAAGCATATCATTCTATAAATAGAATGAATCAAGACCGTCCATTAACGTACCATAAAATTATAGATAATATAAAATCGTATACGTAATCCTCCATTACGGGTCCAAATCTCTTGCAAATTTTAGTATATTCCCAATCAATCTCGACCCTTGATCTTCGGTTCCTTATATTTATCATCGGTTAATCTACGAGATTAAATGCGTTATTCGTGAATTATTCATCATAGTATATATATATAAAATTATCCTGCGTGCGAATGATATATCTTTCATTGGATATTATTCTCTCTTTTTATGTTTTGTCACATGTCGCCTGTGCAAGGGTTTAGTGCCTCTAACTTCATCATTGATTTTATATAATCTATTTGTTACTTCCCATTTCTAAATAAATGTCATTTTAGATTTTTTTTCACAACTGTTAAGAAAACATTTTTTAAAAGTCATAGACACCTTCATTCATCCATATTTTCATTAATACTCTATTAATTTGATATTTTTAATTAATGATAAAAGAATTTTTTAAAAAAAAATCACCTAAAAAATCTAAAACACATTTATTTAGTAACACAGAATATGTTCTAAAACGACACATTTAGAAAAAAATAGTAATTAATTGTATTAATAAATATGGTTAGACAGTAATCAACAATCGTGGGCGAGTTTAGGCCACCACTAAAATTTTAATTAATTGTGTGTGTGTGGTGCAGAAAATTATGAATAAGAAAAACGTGATATTAATTCGACCGTCGTTGTAACTTAATCAAACCCCTCGATTTTTTTTTTTAAAATGCTCGATATTCTTAAAATGCATCGCCTTTTCTGCTTAATTAAATTAATCAATTAATTACATCATCATAACATGATGACGTTGATGATGATGATTATTAATTTTAACAAATATCCGCATGATATTTGTTACATATATTTTAAATATATGGGTAGAAACTTGAACGAGAAACAACCGGTCCATAAGCGATAACCCGAGCTTTAGATTATAATGTAATAATTCATTAATGTGTGTGTATGTATATATATAAAAGAGAAGAACATGATAACTATATTAAATAATTTATTTTTTTACGATATATTATTAAAATGGATACTTTGAATTTAAAAACATTTCTGCCACGTCACCAAACCCACTTTCCCTCCAACTTGTCGCACCAATCGGGTCACGAAGCCACCGCAAACAGCCAAAAGTATAAAAATAAACAAATAAATAGAATTATAACTACCACATTAGCCCCATTTGTTTAATCAAAAAGATAATTAATAATGATTAGTATGATAATAACATGTGGGTTTGGGAAATCTTTGACTGTTGCTTGATCACGCGTCCACGTATCCACCACCGTTCACGGCCTAACCACGTGATTATATCTGCCTAATTGTAATTATGAAACATTTTCCATTTTTTAATTATAGATTAGTACTTGCTCAGACTAATTTAATTACTAACGCAATGTGTTGTAATAAAACGAAAACTGGTCCAATCGATGCGTTGTTTCATGATAATTTTCTAAGTTTATATATATAATTTAGAAAATTTTTTTTTTGGGGAAATTTCTGGTTCTCGTATACTTGTTAATTTTGTTTTAAAATAAATCGCATTAGTTAAAGTAAACAAAAAAGCATATAAAACATTAAAAGTGGAAAAAAAAACTTTTTAGAGTAAAATGACCAAAAAAAGAAAACTAATAAAGTTTTATTTTCTGGCATTTGATATTTTCTATTATTAAAAATAATTATACCATAATTTAATTACTTATATCATGTATAAATTTTCTGTTTGTTTTTTTATTTATGAATCATTTATTTCATATTGTCTTTCGTTAGTCAAAATTGAAAAGTA